GTCGTCGTAGGATTCATAACCATCATCCCTAACAATTAAATCATCATTCTCGTAGGATTCATAACCATCATCCCTTTCCTCCATCTATCTCTTCTATTGCATTCCAAAATGCAAGTTATTCTTTGGGCATTGTTAGCCTATGTGTCCACTTGTATGTTGACCATGATTTCTATGTTAAATATTTTAAAAGAATATAATGTTATTAAGGTGTTCGACTACAAAATCTGATGTACATGAGGTTTGATTATATATATATTTTTATGTAGCTCGGGAACTATATTTAGGACGGGGAAGAATTGTTTTGACTCCCAAAACCTCACACAATGTGGCAATCAGAAAGTTTAACTATCTAATTTATCGTCCCTACTTGAAAATACATCCACCAATATGGCATGCAAAATCAAAATAGTAGGGAAATAAAAAGAATAAGAATGTTGCAACTTACCCGATAAGTCGATATCAATTCTTAGGCTCAACAAGTTTTTTGGAAGCTCCCTAACTTAAAAAATTTTAAAAACTTAAAAAACACTCAAAGAAAATTAATAAAGCTAATTTCAAAGAAAAAGAAAAGCTTTAATTTCATTAATATCTTAAAGTTGTGATTATAGTTTAAGAATTGAGGCCTTTATATATGCTTTTATTTATTATTCAACTAAGGGTAAGATTACAACTTCTTACTTGGACTCTTAAACAAAATTTAAGTAGAAAATTAAAACAAAAATAATTAAATAATTAAATTTTTATTGAAACTTAATAAAATAATAAAAAATAATTAAATAAATATTGAAAAAATCTTCTCTCCTTATCCAAATCTCCATGTAGGTTGATCTTCCTTGAACTTCCAATTTGAGTAGAATTTCTCTTTTGATTTTGCACTTTAAATACATGTTAAATTTGTAAAAGTCCCTTGCTGTAGGAATCCTTGGAAAATTAGGAAAAAGGGAAGAAAAGAGTCCAAAAAGGACTCACCTTGTGGCTGCCTGTCTGATCCGTGCGGGTGCATGCATGCCTGCACATTGTTGCTGTGTGCGGGTGCAACTTTCCCGCTCGCTCTGCGTTTTTCGTGCAGGCAGAATTCCTGCATGTGTGGGTACCTTGCTTCGCACGTGTGCATGGCCATACATGTGTACCCGATGGGTACACATACTCATGATATTTTGGGCTTCTCATTATGGTGTAAATTCTTGATCCGGGCCTCTTTTTGGCCATGAGACCTAATAACTTCCGCGTCTCCCGTCTTTTCTGATTTCTCTTCTTCTTAGACCGAGGTTCAGGACCATTTAATTCCTTTTGGCTTCCTGACTTACTTTCCTGCAAGTCCTGGACTTAGATTTTGGTGGATCCGACTTGAGTACTTTCAGTTCGGGAACACTTCCTAGTGTACCCTGAAAGCACACTACTGCATGATCATTTCCGCCCTTTTGTTGTCACAGGGATCATCAGCTTGTCACAAGGTTTCTCATTTATTGTCACATCAAGTTAAATTATGTTTGCTTCAATTATTATTTAATTCCTAGGTCTAATTTTTTGATAGTTTTATGCATAATTAGAATATATATTGTGTTTAAGTTATTATTCGCTCACTTTGAGATTTGATTGTGGGGATTCAATTTATACTTTTCAAGGAAAATATTGAATTCCTGCCATTACAGAAGTTAGAAGTAGGTTTGCAGTAACTCAAACACTATATTCTCTGTTCTAATTAGGCATATTAACACTATGTTTGAATTCAGAGAAGCTAAGGAGATAAAAAAGGAACGGAGTAGAAATGCCACCTCCTTTCCATTATTTAAATAAAAATAAGTTGGTAAAACAAATCAAGGGATAGTGAGTATGCGTTCTATCCTTTTAATTTCTCAAGGTGGAGAAAAAAAAAAATTGAAAAGTTTTGATTGTTAAGTTTTTAGTTCTGCCTCAATTTTCTAACTTGTTATTTTAGTAATAAAGGTTACTATTGAAATTTTTCTTATCATTAGTCTTTTTCTTTCCTCTACAAACTCAAACCAAACAAAATTACGACAGTCATTTCTTTTCTTTTAATTTGTTAATTTTTGGTTTATCCAAACAAAGTAAATGTGTCCTTAGCTTTTCATTAAAATTCCATGTTTTCATTTTTTTTCTTTTTTTAAAATCTTACTTTCCTTTACAGTCCTTTGCTAATTTTTTTTTAAAATAAAAAAATCCTTTGCTAATTTTTATCCAACATAGTGTAAGACTAATATGTGAATTAGAATTAAAAATTGAACCAGATTTCGAACTTGAATGAAATGCAACCTAATAATATTGGGATTATAAGTAGTGTTTATGAGTTCCATTTAGGTTTAGGTCTTATGAATTAGGGTTACATTAGTATATGATGGGTGGCAACTCAATAACAGTCAGCTGCTCAACTATGGCAGCTAACATTCTCCGATACATGTCCTGAAAGAAATTTTTTGTAATTATTGTTTATATTTTTCAAGTATTTAGATTATTTAGATTTATTTAGACACACTTTAATTATAAGGATTGAAATCTTTTAGATTTTTTTTTTTTAATTTTTTATTAGTTGAGGTACTATAATATTTTAGTTTCTTCTTTTATAATTCTTATTATTACACTGCCTATATAAAGACTAGTAGCCATTGACAAAAAGAAAAGACATGATGATGAATTAAGAATTTCTTTGTTAGAGTTTTATTCCCTGTTATCTTTCTCTTTGTTCTTTCTTCTGATTATCTCTCTCTTTCAACAGTCGTTACAATATAATAACTATTGTTAGTTAAATATTTAGTATGAAATAGACTTATACTTGAAATTAGGAAAGCATGAGATCTTTTATAGCAATTAAAATCTGAGTTTAATTGTAGAACTAACACTTCTTCTAAGTTAGAAGATGAAAGCTTGAAGTTCATTATGAACGAGCATGGTCACGTAAGAGATGTTGGATGTTGTTGAAGTTTTTTCTGTTTATGTTGATAATATTGAGCAACTTCCCCTTTCAACAATCTTATTCTATCTTTTACTATGGTAGTGGTTCCCATTCATAATGACTACATTAAAGAGATTTCTTAAAATAATTTTATTTTGTCTCGTTTGTTTTATGATCCTAAGGAATCTATTGTTTTGGTTAACCTTCAATTTTTGTTTGAAAATTATCAAAAGTCTCAACTTTTTAAGATTTTGGAAAACATATTCAAACTTCTCCTATCTTGATGTTGTAACACTTCAAAACTTAAGGTCGAGTTTTCACCAAGTGGAGTAGGATGAAACAAAATAATAAAAATCTTACTTTGGAATAAATTTTCTATTATAAGATCGTTTCCAGTTATTTTTATCATTTTATATTCTTAACTTATTTAAGTTATTTAGGATTGTTTAGGTATCATAATGTTTTAATTGCTTTTTAGGTAAATTGTTAATATTGTAAAAATTATAACCTTTTAAATTGCTTCTTTTAATTTTTTTTACTAGTTGAGGTATTATAATATTTTAATTTACTTTTAAGTAAAATTTAAATATAAAGGCTAGTAGCTATCAACTTAAAAGAAAAAGAAAAAGAGGATGATAAATTAAAAATTTATTTGTTAAGGTTTTATTGTCTGTTATCTTTCCTTTTGCTCCTTTTTCAGATTATTGTTATGCCTAACCTATCTTATTCAGTGTATTTCTCCTGATATTTCTTTACAGTAATCTCTAATTTCTCCGATCTATTTTTATTCTTCTGTTTGTCTTCTAAATTTTCTCTAGTTCTAAATGATCTGAGACAAATTAATTTAACTGCTTCTTTGACATGCATCAGTTTCTCTATATTTTATTAGAATAAACTCAACATATTCTTATAGAAAAGTACTTGACCTACCTGTCATATTTCTGACTTTCTTTCCTATTAATTTTCTATAGTTACATAAAGATGTAAATGTATAATTGCATTGACCTACCATATATACTATATATATTTGATGAAAGCTACTTATGGTTAACATGATCCTGCCCGAAAATAGGAACTAAGAAATCAGGAGCCTCATAAGAAAACAAAACAGCATTATGTACATACAAACTTCCTTTGCTAAAATATGAGTTACCTTATATAATTTCTAAGAACCTAAAAGGATAAAAAGGATAAAAGTAGTTGTTTTACAGATAAGACATCTTCTAAAACATGCTAAAGTCTGAAAATACATTTGAAAAATATGAATATTTCTTGAGAATCACCTTCTACAATTATATGTTGAATCCCTCTCATACGCACCAACTCCAGTCCATAAGCTGACACCAATATTTCTGTAATTTCCACTGGTTATAGATGGGATTCTCTACGCATGCTTTCAAATACTATGTAGCCATTCCAATCTCGGCAAACCACACCCAATGTCATCCTTTCATCATGGTAAATTGATGCATCGGAATTGAGCTTAAATTTTTCTTGTGGAGGTGGTAGCCATCATGTTTGTTCTGCTTTGTTATTGCCATTTGATGTGTTACTCCTTGTTCCGAATCCCTTGACCCTATATACTCTCCATCAAATATAAGGATGCCTCTAGTTTCAGAACCAGAGTATGTGGGTCTACCAATTTTGATTTGTGGATCCATTGATTTCAGCTACACCAGATGCTCTGGAGTGTAAGCATACACCAGGATCTGCTAGAGGATTGGGAAGAAGAGAGACCTGTATTCAACCTATCACATATTTTTGTTGGTTACCTTTTGTGATAATATAGTATCTGCTTGTACTGTTCTATGTGTCTCATAGTTCTAATAGCTTTAGTCATCTATCTCTGCTAGCTAACGTGCGTGTTTTGCCTTCTTAAAATTCTCAAAAGAGCCATGCCATCTTGCTTTAAGATATGAAAAGCCTATATATAAATATATATTGTGCTATACTTTTTAATTGGAATGCAGCTTGTACCTCTTTGGTATGATATGATGTCTCTAAAATGCTTTATTTAGAATCTGTTGGATCCTATTCTATTTTTTCTTGCTAATGTTTTGGATATTCCATCTGTTATGTTATTTATCAGGTACGAGTGCTGACATTATGAAGGTTGGTGGATATAAATTATCTGCCTTAGAAATTGAATCTGTTCTTCTAGAGGTAATTACTTCTGTGATTCTGCTTTTGTAATTTCCTCATGTTAAAAGATTTTCTCCAATGAAGTGCAAAGTGGGTGTACGGAATCAGTATTTCTGTAAACAAGAAATGGTTTGTTGGAACTGAAACATCCCTGTTAGTAGTGCAGCATCCAGTTGTTGTCGAATGTTGTGTATTGGGCTTACCAGACAAGGATTATGGAGAAGCGGTGACTGCAATAATTGTACAAGATGCAGCAGCAAAGAAAACACGAGAGGAAGAATTGAAGTCTGCTATAACCTTGGAGGAACTTTGCATCTGGGCTAAAGACAAACTTGCACCATACAAGGTATTCGATTCATTTTTGCTCTTTTGGTCACAGAGATATAGTTTTGAACTCTAAGTATGGGTGGTATCTTTTCTCTTAAGTTATTGATCCTACGCACGGTGAAAAGTGTTTTCTTTTGTTCATGTGCAGCAGCTCCTTGGTTCTCTTGCAAATGGAATTCTTTTATAGTGAAACTAGTCTGTTATCATTTAGTGTTCTGTATGTCAAAAACTGACCTGTGCTTGGGATCATAGTGGAACTCCAAAAGCACTTTAGTGCAGTTGCATTCTTACTAATAAGTTGCTCCGAAGCTCTTCTTAGATATAAAAAACAACAATTCTTGTATACTTTCAGATTTATTCAAACAACTAAAGGCTTCATGTTTTACTAACCCAAACTATATAAAAGAGTCATGATTTTATCAAAAATATTTCTAGAAGAAACTACTTTTAAGTGGACAATCCACGTCGACTAAACCACGTAACCTTTTCTATCCACATCAGCTGTCATATCATTTGTATTAGGACTTGCATTAAATCTTTTTATATTAGCATTTTGCTTTTATGAGATTGATATTATAAAATCTTCCAACCCTAACGCCAGCTGTCTTTTCTGCTTCTCCTTTTCTTCTTCTCTGCTTGCGACTACTCCTCTTTGAAGTTCCTGTTTGAAGAGCATCATTCGTCTTGCATTTATTTTACCAACTTGAATCATTGAGTATCTGCTTGTGCTTTCAGCTACCAACCCGTTTGTTGATTTGGGACTCATTGCCTCGCAATGCTATGGGAAAGGTGAACGACCATTTTTTTCTTCAGTCATTAATCCATCATATTTTATTTGCTAACTTAACTTCAAAGAAGGATTTATAATCTGTTCCCTTGTGAATTTATCCAATTCCAGGTGAATAAGAAGGAGTTGAAGAAATCGTTGACTGGTCAATAATGATTAGTCATTAGATGGGACGTAAAACACTCAATGTTGTGATCTTGAAGTTCAAAATGAAGGTAGGGAATCTTTGATGTTTTCATTCTATATTTTCTTGCGCCAATTGTTGAAAACATCGATAGATAAATAGAGTATTTTGAGCAATCTAGTCCTACATAATTTATGTCCCTGTTTGAACAGAAGTAGTCTTCCAATTCTTTGTGATTGGGGTCTGATTCAATATTGTATGTGTATGACTTTGAACGAGTGATGGGATTCACGAGGCAAATAATGAAATAAAAGAGAAATTTGTTAAAGTTGTTAATTACTAGCATTACTGTAAAGTTCTTGAACAGACTTTTATACCCATATCGATCATAATGTATAGGGTTTTGAGTTCTTTCTGCGATTAGATGGATTTAGAGCTTTGAAAGTTGATTATGAAGGGGATGGTTTGGAATTGCAAGGGAAGTGAAAAGAACAGATATGGGATTTTGAAAAAGAAGAGAAAGTACGATACTTTTTCACTTATTTGTATCTTCCAAAATGTGAGAAGAAAAAAACTTGAAGGAAAAATGAGTTCAAGTTGTTTGACTCTTCAACAGAGAAGAAAAGATCTTAAATGTTTCATCTTTCATTTCTTTTGTGTAGACTTATACGTGTATATATATAAAGAAAATTGAGAAGAGAAAATTACCGATTATCATTTAAGTTGATATTAACATATAACTGGGGATGACAACTTGGTGGATGCAATGTGGCACTATCCCGCTGGGTCTTTGCTGAGGATTTCCCAATCGAACTCTTGATTTGACCCTGCTCGTCTCTGTTCTCGGTTGTTACATATATTTTTTTTATCTTAGAAACTAATTATATAATATTTCATACAGTTTCTTTTTTTTTTTTTTTTTTTTTTCTAAAATGATAAATCTAGAAGTACATGTTAAAAGTTTTGATATAATTGAATGAATGAGGATTATATTAAAGATATGAAATGACTAATTTGAAATTTAAAAGAATGAAATGAGTATAAAATCTTGGTTGTATTTGTATTTAGCAATTTGAATAATTTCAAAAACAATTTTGTATTGAATTATTTAGATAATTTCATTGTATTTGCACTGAGAAGATACACTAATAATTGAACACTTGTCATCAAAGGAATATTCTGAAGTATTCTTAAATTTATGAAGGAGATACACTAATAACAATCTTATTTATAACATTTGTTGTGCCACATTGATGAGGTCTACAGAAATGTAATTTTTTTTCACAGATCAAATCCCTATTTAAATCTTTTATACCCATGTTTTATATACGTCTACCATCTTCTCGTAGACACAACCATATTGAAGTATGTGTATGATGAGTTGTGTTTTGTGTTGTGCTCCCTATTTGCATATTTTTATAATTAAAGGGAATAAAATACATCAAGGTGGTGAGACTTAATTGAAAAAGCAAAATAAAGAAGAGTAAAAAATTACAATACAATCACATTGTCAATTACCCTTTTTTACCTCGAGAGGCCAAATAAAAATTGAAAGGGTAATAATGAAGAAATTATATGATAATGAAAACAATTAAAATGCAAAGTTGTCAACTCCATAAAATTGAAGCATTTTTGGGACTTTTTTATGCAATTGCCATGTGGAGGATTCAAAGAAGTTAAGACCATTCCTTGTGAAGGAAGTTTTGTTTGAAGACAATTGTTTTGTAATTTTTTTTTTTTTTTTTTTTTAAAGGTTTTTAGCTTATTTTTTATTTTCATGTTCTTTTGAATTCCTATTTTTTTTCCCCTATGATTAATAAATCAAACATAAATAGATAAAATACAGTATATAGTATATCGTAAAGATAATAATAATAAATAAGCAAATATATAATATTACTAAACAATTAGGATGCATCACGAGTTGGGTATTTAATACTTTTTTTTATCTCATTTCATTTTAAAAAATAAAAATATCTAAATTCTAAAATATTTATAAAAAAAAAAATTATTTTTTTAGAATTTTTGTAAAAAAAAAAAAAAAAAAAAAAAACTATTTATAGAATTCTTAATGGGCAGTAAATACCAACTTTAACATCGTTCAAAATTGTAAAAGCAATTTTTTAATTTGATTTGGATATTCTACAATCTTTCTTTTATTTTTTTCCCCTCTTTGGATCTTCCATTTTCTTTCATTGCCAACGTAAATTTTTCTTTTTTTCTTCTTTTTCTTCCATACCCTTCTTTAACCAGGGCTTTGTTCCTTTGTTTATATTCCATCTTTTCAAAAAATAAAAGGAAATGTATACAATTATTTATATGGAAGTCATTTTTACGACTCCATACAATTTAAGTCATCTTTTTAAAATGAATTCAAACAATATTTTATTAATTGAACAAAAGTGACTCATCTCTTTTTCTCTTAAACACAAGTACTTAGAAAATTCTAATTTTTTCTTTTTCTTTTTCTTCTTTCTTTTTTTTTTTGTTGCAATGGTGGGTGGGATGTAATGTAACATATTTTATATAAAAATTTCATATTGTGAGGAACTCTAAATTCAGATCGTCAGATGATCTGATCAGTGAAGTCAATGATTGATAAAAATGGAAGCCCACGTGCGGTGAGGATGCAAACAGGGAATCGAAGCCAGATTTTGGGGATTAAGAAAGAAATTGGGTTGGCCTTTGGGACTGCTGATGTTGACTTGTGATTGGACGATGAGACAGAACACGACAACAACAGGTGGACCATCACGTACATTATTATTTCCCCACCACCACCTTTCAAACCTCTGCTTCACTGTAATATTCTCACAAAAGTCTTTTATTATTATTGCATGTACTTTGATTTATTCCAAAAAAGTCATCCTATTTTTTTGGTTTTTTAAAAAATAATTTTTGAAATACATTATTTAATTATTGTCAAATAATTAAAAAAAAAAGTCAAAATATATATATTTTATTTTAAAAGAAAAGACAGCTAAAAAGTTGGCGTCATCTCAATCAATTGGAAAAAAAAGAAAAGGTGTTCGAGCTCATGCTATGTTTCTTCTCAATTATTTAATCTTATCTTCTTTGTCAATTTAGGTCTCAACACTTTCCCATCATCTTATATGAAACCAAATCCCAATTCAATTCTTTGTAAGAGCCTACCGTATATGTTATATATGTACGTATACACATGTACAATTTATTTAATTGATTTTATAAGTTTGTAAAATTAAATGAAAAATAATATTAAATAATTTTCCAAGATTTTAATAATATATAGTGGGATATTCTATTGTGGGCACTTCTAAAAATGGTGAAAATGATTTGAAAAATAATTAGAAAATTGCCCATTAAATATCATTGGTAAGGCGCTGGTTTGAGTGAATTTCAAGAATGGTGAATGAAATTGATTTGATGAGATTCGTACCTACAAAGGTTAGAATAAAGGGAAAGTAAATTTAGTAAAATCTACGTCAGAATTCAAATTTTATATATTTATAATTAGATTAAATTTAAATTTTATAAAATTTGAAAAGTTATTATCTTTTATATTATTATTTTATCAGTTATTTTAAAAATTCATAATTTAAAATAATAATATCTTTATAAAAGAACAATTTTTCAAAATTTATATTGGCAATTGATATGAGATTTTTCTTATTGTTGATATTTTTGTTATTTCATACACGCAACACATCACGAGATGCAGCAATAAAGCATTTAGGTTTTTTGGTAGTAATATATATTTTTCTATACAATTTTTTTTTTTTTATATAAATCATTTCATTTTAATAATTGCAATGTGTTCATTAAGCTAGAATTTCTAACAAGATTAGGAAATCAACCTCTAATTCGATAATAGGGATACATATATATATATACTTTAATTTGGAGAGCATTTTTCTTGGTTTTCATAGTATTATCTTGGACTTAGCAAAGTGGATGAAGCTTCAATCGGCCAAGAATTTGAAGTTTTACTTGTTTTCTTTTTATTTTTTGTTTAATGTAATGCATTATTGAGCATTTATCACTATTTCTAACTATTCTAACTATATAGTGATGAATAAGTGAAGAATTTTATAAATAATGCACTAAATAATATTGTCAATAAATACTAATATAGTGTGAAAATTTGTAATAGATATTATATTTAAATTTTTTACTTAACGTATTTTAATCTTGTTATAAAAAAATAATAAAATATATGAGTTCAAATCTACACTAAGTTGAAATTAAATAAATTTTATATATCATATATCTATTATATCTGTGACATTTTTTTTTTTCATAAAATAGAAGTTATTAGCGGCACCAAAGTACATAGAACCCTATATATAGGTTAACATTTTTCCTTTCTTTTCCCACTCAATCTCTCTCATATCTTGTCCAAAATAAATAAGAAATTCTTATTTCTTTTCATACATATACACCAAGTACCCCTTCTTCGCTCATATTGTTCTTAGTTTCGCAATTAAATATATGATTCAAAAGTAATTTTTATGGAAGTGAGATATTTTGGAATAATGAACAATCAAGCAAAGAATCTCTTTAATCCTTTCTGACTGATGAGGAGACAATCAAACATGGTAGAAGAATAAACATTATAGTAGAGGTTAGAAGTTATTAAATGAGCAAAAACGAAAGTTTTAAATGATAGACATAAAAAAATAAAACATCACATAGAAGTAAAAAACAAAAGTAGCAAATTAGAGGTTCAAACACTAAAGAACGGATGTATTCTTTATGGGCAAAGAGTATGTCAAGTGAACACAAGAAGAGCAAGTCGAAGGAGCAGAAAAAGAAAAAAAAAAGTTGGAAGATAACAAAGACAAAAAGTTGAAACGACATGATAATAAACAACTAAAGGAGAAGAATGGAGTAAAACTATAAGGGCCAAGAATATAAAGCTTAGGTAGTATCAGACTAAACCAAAATGGTTGAATGAATACCTAGAATGAGATTGTTGAAAGGGCACCTATAGTGAGATTGCCAAAATAAGCATTTTAAAATGAGAAAATTGAATTTAAAAATAATGACAAGAAAAATACCAATAGATGATGTCAAAATTGATTGCATTAGATGCTTGACAATCTCAAGTACATGAAATGGTAAAAAATAATGCTAGCAAATTCAATAAAAAAGATTTACTCAATCTTTTTAACTTATGAAGTTTTTTTTTACATTCTTATTGAATGAAAAATTTGTGTCTATTTATCAAAATAACTTATTATGTTTTCATCAATCTATTTTCTTGAATTAATTTTAACTTATCAAGATTTTTCTAATAACATTTTAATTAATTCATTTATCTCTAATACTTTAATTCCAATCGTAGGTTGATTGTAAGTTAAATAAGAAGGATTTATCCTACTTAATCCATATCAACCTTAATTCCTATTACCTTAAGTCTTTGGTGGTAATTGATATTGTATGTGTTTTGGATTATATTTTTATTTTGAGTTCTGTATCAACCTTAGTGTAGGTAACTGAGTTTGTTCATTTATAAGGATTTGGGCATTGTTGTCCACAAAGAATTTAATGATACTTCTATGTGGTGTTGGATTATTTCAAAATATATATCTTTATGTACAAATATATATATGTTTTTCTTGATATTCACTAAACCTCTATGGCATTGTGGATGAATCCTTTATAGTAATAGATGTTCGAATATTTTTTTTGGTCTTTTTGAAATTTGACAAGTTAAATTTTATCTTATTATTCCGATAAAAAATAAAGGTATGTAAAATGAACAATTCTTTCAAAAAGGATGCATGTGCGAGGATAATCACCTTTTATTTTTATGGATTATGAAAGTAACATCTAAAATTATCTTTTAGATATCACACCATTAAAAAAAATATTTCTTAAAAATAATAAATATAGTCACAAAAATTGTAAAAAAAAGTAATTAGAACAACTTTTATTGTATAGAATTATTAACCATACCCACATCACATGAAGTCCTAGCAATGATGTCGTTGCGTATAATATGAATAGCAATAACAATACTCATTATGTTACTCTTACATGGACAAAGAAAAAAGTATACTATAACTATAGGTGTCATTGCAATTCAATTTTTTTAATTTCATTTGTTAACAATTTCGTATGAGTTTGAGGATATTGTAACTTATATTTTGAGTTTTAATTTAAAATAATTTTTTATTAAAAAAAATTCAGTAAAAAATTATTTAATATTTAATAAAAATATTATCACTTAAAAAAATAAAAAAAATTATATGCTTAATGAAAATAACATTTTAAGTATAAATTTTTATTTAAGAATAAAATCATTTTCTAAAAAATACAAATTGTAACTTCATGTGTTTAAAAATATTACAAGTAGATTTTGATTTTACTTTTTGGAAAAAAAAAATAATAATAATCTTACTTAAGAAAATTTCAATATCACATCCTACAACTACAGGTACATAAGACAAAGAAGTTTGATTCGTATACAAGTGGTAAAGAAAATGATTGAAAAAGCCAACACCAGTAGCGAATGAAATATTCAAAAACATAATTCTATGTTCTCCGTACCTACTCAAAATATATTTTATCTTCAAAGACGAAAGTAAAACCAATGTTATTAAACTTAAAATGCATGTTTAGGCACCTATCCATCAGATTCTATTTATAGCATTGCCCATTTATTATAATCATAAAGGATCTAGTAAATAGACAACCTTATAAAGAACCAACACAAGATGACCCAAGCTTATATAAATCTTGAAAACTATACAGAAGCTTGACCCAGATATCAAAAACTATACAGCTTGCAAAGTTTAAAACAAAAAAGAAAATTCACAAGAAAGGTTATCCTCAATGATAAAAATTCCACACCAGCTAAAACCTTATATAAATCTTAAAAAGCAAACAAAATTCCCATGGCCACCACTGGTTCAAAAAAGAAGTCCTTCAACATCATCTAAGGTCTACAAAGGGTTGCCACTTCCCTTTTCAAGTCTCTGCAATTTCACATTTATACAAGATGTCTGATCCACATTTAAAATTCATCTCATTCTCATGGCAGTTTCTCAAATATAGTCCATGGATCACTTGATCTATCTCATGTTTGTAGAGACATCATTAATATACACCTGTTCAAGGATATCTTCAAGGATGGCTCCCAGAATAATTCCAAACCTAAATGCCATAAGAGTTACTTTGACTAAAGACAATTAGGCTAGTGAAATACCTGCTGAAACTTGCCCATAACAAATAAAGAGGTATGGTACCTGAAGTCCTCAAGGATCCTCCTAGATGTTAACAAAAGCAAAGTTCTTGAGCGTAAAATGTTGCCCATATTCTTTAAAATGGCCACTCAAGCAAGCTACAAACATGAATGAATCAGAGAATAAAGATAATATCTGATGTATAAGCAGCTTACATGCAGTTGACAGAACCTTAAAGTTGCACACATTTCATCCATCATTCCTAGGACCCAGATACCATTTTAAGATGAGTAAGAAAAGGCAATCAGAGATAAATCTCATTTATTGCATTGAAATTATGAACTAAAACAAATTATGATCAGAACAGATCTAAGTAATGATGATATTATGGATGGAACTAACATAGCAACCCACGCAAAACAGTTTAGACAAACGTCAATCCGCAGCTTCTATTTTGTAACAAAACATTTACCTCAACAAAGAACATGGAAGAATTAATAGATCAAAAACGAAAGAGAGCAGCACTGATCAAACTACCAAGCAATCAGATTCTTCATTGATTCTTCATTGAAAGACAATTTACAAAGAATGGGAAAGGAGAACTTTACTAATCGATTTCAACTCAGGACATGGTTTAATTCCCACACACAATTCTGCTTCCATTAGCAGAAATTCTCCCATCTAGGCCTCATTCCCTAATACTGGAAAGATCCTCCAGAAGTTATCCATCTGTTCAACCTTCTCCTCCGGGGAACCCTTACAGCTATAGAATCTAGGGACCTCTCAAAAACCGTATCTTCACTCCTTTTAAACCTCATTCCGTAGCCTGCTCGCGAGAGCTTCTATTGCACATAAACAGATTCTGAATTACTTGTTTTCTCCACCACTGGAAGAACAGCAACTCCGACAGGTGAGGAAGACAACTTCTCTACCAGTTGAAGAAGAAGGTGAGAGAGACAGAACCGGCCGGAGTTCAGCCGAGCAGAGCTGCAATATTATTTACTTGCATTTATTTTTTATTGGCAAGGATAAATAATATTGTTATACAACCACAAATATTGTTTTATTGTCTATTATTATTATGCAAAAAGAAAAGTCAACGTTAAATTGATATTTCTTCTCAATCTTAATATATCTTGATCATAGATTTAACAATGGACCTAGCAATGAATTTAGTATTTTACTACTATATACATACATCATAAAATGGAATCCTTGTAAAACTATGTTAAGAAAACATTTTTTTTTGTTGTTTACAAACAAAAATGTATTAGATTTAGCTTAAAGTTTCCTAACTTCAAATAAGTTCACATAAGTAAAATATCTTTAAATATTCATTCTTTCAAGACTCGGTGGCTTATCGTACTAGGTCTTTTATAGTGTCTTTGACACACTTTTGCTTGTCATACTAGGTCTAATGTGATGTTTTTGACATCTTTTATAGATTATTATGATCGCATATGAAGAACAACATGGTATGTGCAATAGTAATGAGCTACTACTCACATAAAAATAATATTTTATGAAAGAAATATAGTTAATAAGTATCAAAATTAGAAAATGCATAATTACCTTACTAAATGAGTTTTTGTAAATATATAACAAGTTCTCGAGTCATAATATGCAAACGAAACCTTTGGAATATGTTACATATGGTAAAGAGAATTTAAGGCAAATAGAGCATATCTCTAACTGCAAATTTAATTATTAATTCTGATTTACTTTTCATACTTGAATGTATAAATAGCAAGACATTGCACATGTAGTTAGTAGTTAGCAAGTTTTTTTTCTGATTCTAAGAAAAAGTATTATAAAATAGTTAAATAGATGTTTTAGATACTTAAAATATAGTTCTAATATATGTTTGTATTTTGACGATTGAAAAGGATAAAAAGATAAAGATATAACAAGTAATTTTGACAGTAGATAATCTACTTCATGGCATGTAACAGCCCCGGTAATTCATAATGGAATTTGTATTATAAATATCAAATGCGGAAGCGAAGTCAAAATTTGAATAACATCCCTTACACTAAAACCAAAACGTGCTCACAAAATATAAAAGATTAAACTACCTAAAGGATAAACTTGAAAGTAAAAACTACGAATGTGACTATGGAGTCCTTAGGCGTCCCCTTCGTCGTCCTCCTGCGGAAGCGGCTCGGGAACGATGTCCTCTTGATCTGAAATGATTAAATAAGGAATGAGCTACACTAGCCCAGTAAAGACATCACGATATCTCACCGTCACGGAGGTAAAGGTGGGTAGAAAACACAAAAGACCAATGGAGCATAATTTACAACAAATCCTTTATCGAAAATAAAACCTTTATCATTTACTTACCTCGGTGAAATTCATAAAACAATATACGAAAGCAATAACATCATCATCATCATGAAAACATATATATGAACTGTATAACATAATACCTATCACACTCTTCGTAATTCAATAGTTTCACAACATATTTTCCTAATTCACCAGCCCACTAGTATCCATGGGGATCCATAGGAGTCCCGCTACCCGTTAATCCTTAACACTTGAGATCATATTCCAGGACCGTCCCTATACCCCGTCCGGTATAAGGGTGAAACGGGCCGTCCCCATACCCCGTCCGGTATGGGCGCCAAAACACATAAGATCTCCATACCCCGTCCGGTATGGGAGACCACAATCCCGGTAGGGTTCCCTACGGACCCGGTCCGTCCACCATCTCCCAGGATATCTAGTCAGGCTGAACACATTATACAATTTCCATTCACATAATCTTTCATTCACCTTTTCCCTCAGTCAGCATTTTCAATCACATACAAACAAGCTAAACGATAATTTATGCCAAACAGACAATATATAGTATCAACACCCCAGTCATTCAATCCATAATCAATAAAACAGTACAATATGCACACGAAACTATAAAATGAAAACATTGAACCTCATGCTGCATTGAAGACTGTAAAACAGGCCAAATAACAGTTAACCGACAAATACACTAGACTCAGACTCCATTAGCGACCTTAAGCAATTTCACACATTCGTTGATTCATGAAATACCGTTTTTATCATTTATTGAACTTTAAAACCGTGATAGGAAATAGGGTGAGGGGTCCTTACTCGTTTCGGGGTCCGAACACGGCTTCACAGTGCGCCTACAGGCTGTCCCTAATTTTTCCTGAATTTTCCTCGGGGAACTGAAACACACTACTGGTACCTGCACGTGTTCCAAAAAAATCCCAAATTAGGCCTAGGGCCCCTTTCGGCCCAAATCGCAACTCCGGCACGGCGGCGGCGATTCGCCTCGGGTTGGCTGTTTTCGGCCGTTTCCGGCCACACTCGTATCGGTCCCTGCGAGAAAACAACCCTAGGGCCCTCGGGGGGCCAAAAAATCACGGAAAAACAGAGCTTACTGGCGGCGGCGCTCTCGGGTGCGGCGGCTCTCCGGCGAGGTTCGTGTTTTGGTGATTCGGCTCTGGTCAACCTGTAGAG